CTCTCAGCCCTAGGAAGCAGGCAATGGCAAACCACTTCCAAAAGGAGTCAACACTGACTTGAAGGCACAAAAAAACCAACCAACCACCCAACCCAACCCAACCCAACCCAAAAAATAACCCCACACTTTTAAAAGGAGCTTTACATCACCCAGTACTGTGTATGAAGCAGCTCTTTTCCAATTGTTAAAGCAGCTGCATTGATTTCACGACTTGAGATGCTGCTTCTAAAGCTACGCCCAGCCGTGTCAGGCAAGCTTTGAAAACCACACAGCTGGTACTTCATATGTACTCCTGTCCCTTGCAAAGAACCTCTTTAGTTTTATTATATGTACATATTATTATATATAAGAAAATATATAATAACAGTATAAATTGTAATATATAGTGTCTGTCTTTATATTATCTTATTATATTTATATATAAATTATGAACCTCTAGAGTTCAATTGGATTCAGGTTGTGTATACATTTAATTCATAAATGTATGTATTATGTATGTATGTCTGTTGAAGATTTCGCATAGCCCTAGAGACTGGCAGCTGGCAATCTGGTCTAGAGCAGAGAAGAGTAAATAGCCACCATTATTAAGTGGCAATCAAAGGGATAGAGATCTATGTTATTAGCAACCACTGCTAACTGCAGGAAGAGAGAGGGGAAAGCAGTATTGTGGAGGATACGCTGCTCATGAATCGTCCCCTGTGTGAGAATGGTCAATGACAGAATTTAACAAGCAGCATGGAGTGCTGTCTACTGTACTCTCCTAGAGTTGTGTGTCAATAAAACCACAGGTTTCCATCTACTTCGGCTGCTGCTCACCAGTTGCATTTGTTTATTGTCTTCTCTTTCTTACCTCCGCTAAACAGCACCGTTATGGAGATTACCTCCTTGGCTGAAGATTTGACAGAAACATTCTAGGAATGCCCTCTGTAGTTACATCACACCCAGCTATGGCACCTTGCCAGGTTACTTTCTTTTATCATTTCAGATGGCAGGCAGAAAGCCTTGGGTTCACACAGGCTTGTAGTTTTATGATCTCTGGGTGAATATTGCAATATTTTCTTGGCTGATAATGCAGTAATTCATGACTGACAATTTTCATTTGTTATTGACTTCAGTCCAACTGAAATTAATCATAATCAAGATCTAACTGAACAATTAATCATGTCTAAGTTATACTCCATTTGTTTCAAAGAAACTTAGTCATAACTCATTCTAGCTAACTTGAGGCTGATATATTTTCATATATGACTTTTATCATGCTATTCTTATTGGTTTTATTTTAAATTTTCTATGACTTTTTCCTTTATGTTTAGATTTTTAGAATCAGTCAAGCAGAATAGATATTGGACTGGATCCAAAGAATTATGCATATAAATCCACCCATCCAAAGAAGCTATATGTTCTTTGAACAATAATTTCCTATACCAAAGTCAAATCTCCTTTGGAACTCAGAGAAACTTCTAAACATCAAAGGCATTCCAAAAGATGTTGTAGCGCAGGGTTTTTCAAACTGTTTTCCATGGAACTCAGTTCCATGAGTGGAGGAAGAGGGGGAGCAGAAAGATGATGGCTCAGGGTGTCCACAGCATTTTTTCTAAGGAAAAGCAATCTGATCCCAGTCATTGAACCTTGATTTGTTTGGTTAAAACATTAATCTCCCAAGTAATTCTGAAATTCCATTTTTAATGTCTGTACATTAGAAATGTTATTTGCATTTACAAGCACGGTTTGTTCTTTTATACTTCAATATAGTAAGTGAAGGAACTTTCTAGATGTGATGGAATGTATCTAAGAATGGGGGAGGTGATGTGGTGGACTGCAGAAGAAAGCAAGGTTCTCAGCAAGGAGGGGGCACATTCCAAGAAGGGCAGAGAGACAAGAGACAACACAGTCCAGAGCAGGAGTGTGGGAAGTGTAAGAGGTTCAGGATAGCCACTCCCTAGAATCTCCCAGGGTATATTCACTAGTTGCAGCAGTACAGATTTAGTCCGGCAAGATTTGTTTATATGGTATAAGGAATAAAGGAACTGAACTCGGTTGGACTGTTTCCCTGTTGTTGAGCTGGGCCTGAAACTAGGATAGTAATTGGGACATCCATTTTTGTGAAATTCAAATGACTTTAATATACAAATTTACATAAATAAGTTACAATCTGTACAAGTTTAGTTTTATTGCCAGTTTTCTGCCTCTACACCTTTGCCTCTTGATTCTGGGATTTCTTAAAGTAACAGCTTAGCCTGAAAGTTTGAAAACCCCTGTTATATGGCACCTTTTGCTTTACAAATAGTGGCATTTGTTTCAACTGTGCCCACTGTATCATGTTTTATATGATAATCTTTAGATTCTACATAATTGATTCTACATGCATTTGAACAGACAGCAAAAGAAAGTACAGATGACTTTAGGAATTTATACTGTGCAGAACAGCTAATGTGAAATTCATATAAAGGAAATAAATGAATACCAGCAAATGACTGATTAAATACTTAAGTGCACAGTTTAGGTAGCATGATCTCTGTGACCATGAACACTAAATAATTACATACAATTGGCATAAAATTTCTGCTTTATTGTGTTAAGTGTCACTTTAAACCCTAAAATGACCTTCAAGTCAACATGCTTTAGTGAATGTTAAAACTCTGTATTTTCATTTTTGACAGTAATGAGATTACTTTTCAGGCAAAGCTTAAGACCTTATCTAACACTGAATCATTACACAATAAGCAATTGAACATAAGTACTGTAACAGCAAATATGCAGTTGCTATTTAAACCTCTCCTGCTTAAGATATTAGATATTTATACTCTATAGACTTTGAAATATTTCTGTAAAGGTCAAATAGAACTGTATTATAAAGGTAACATTTATTAAAGTTACTAACAAACTGTTCTCACACAAATGAGGCACCCATACTTTATAGATGCAGAGTACTAATTTATTTACATTCTGTTATAATGTCAGTGTCGCCTGGAACAGTAAATCTCAAAATCATCAGTTTCAAAGCCTTTTACAGTATATGAAGGGTATATTTAAAATGTGAAAGCTTCAATATATGTTAATAAGCTGTAAAACTACCCATATTTTAGAGTAAACGGTTTCTATCTCTGGAATTTACAGAATTTTATGGTAGGATTGTAACATGCTAGTATTATTTATGTTAGATGAGCCAGCTGACAAAATGTCATTGCGCTATTGCTTATAACGAATGCTAGTACTCTAGCCTTAGCAACCATATTTCCAGGAATAATTTGCATTAGTTGCATGAAGAATATAACAGTCCAATACTTAACTGCTTGAAGGACGTGGCAGAATAAGTATTGCCATTTCAGTAACTTCATGCAAACTGTGTCCTACTGTTAAGTGTATTAAGATGGCTGCGTCAAGCAGCTAATTCTAGGGGATAACAGAAAGACAACAAAACTGTTACTTAATTGGTCCGTGTTTACTTTTATTGGCAAGATGGAGGAGAAAGCTTTCTCTCTCAGGTGCCAAAATAACAGGGCTGAGTTTAGTGGTGGGTGGTGGAGTTACAGCCTTGTTTGAATTTCTTGAGTCAGAGGCTAAAGGGGCAGATCTGACATACCATCACCCTGTGGCAGCTTCAAGAGACATGAGTCTGAGCAAATAAGACTTAGTTCAGGTAGTGAGGGGGCAGATTCTGGAGGATCACCCAAGAACATGCTGGCAGCTACCAAGGGCTCAGCAAAGGTGATCAGCACATCTCCTTGAGAAGAGAGACACAATGCCCTTAATCAACCTCAAGCATCTGGGGCTATATTAGAGCAACCTCCAAGCCCCTGCCCTCCAAGCAAATGGAGTTGTTTCCAACAACTGTGTTCCACCTACTCCTAGCTCTCCATTTGGGCTGTAAGCTTGACCTTTGTACTAACTTGTGGAATTCTCTGATGCTCAAATCCTGGTCTGTTACAGGCAACTCTTTCTCCTCCTAGCAGATAACTCATGTTACAAGGGAAGATATGGACCTTTTAAAGCCAAGTCCTCTCTGGCTAATTACTCACCTGACACAATTATCAGATATAAATCACAGCATGGATGATTTAGTGAAGAATATTTAATCCATCGTTACCTGCAACATCAGCTATACATACTATAGCAGAATTTTCTTTGAACTTTTAGGTTTTTTCTTTTTAACCCAATGGAATGTTAGAAATAAAATTATGTAAAGGGCCTTAGAATTATGTCTGTCCATCAGCAGGAAGAAGAGAATGGAACCAAATTTCATTGTGGTAGGAATAAGCCAGCAAAAGAAATAGAGTTTGAATGTGGGATGAGTCTAGTTGGGGGCTACAGAGGAAAATAATCTGGAGGGGAAAAAAAATCCTCTAATGTCTTCCTCTGGGAGAGGCATTCGGCAGCAGCTTGGAAGACTGCTGACCACTCAGTTCTGAAGCTCCACCCTCCTCATCACATGACCCAGAGTGGAGCTGCTATTAAGGGGTTGGAAAAAATTCCATAAGAATTCTGCATGCTCTCCCTACATTTGTTCTTTTCTGGAACCAGCAATAATTTATGATAAATAATGAATGTGGCCCAGTTGTCTTCAGCCACATCTTACTGAGAATGATCTCTCTGTGTTAGCGTGCATCCTGGGAGTGGTAATCCATGGGATATTAAAAGCTTCCCATGATATTAAAAGCTTCCCATGGTAATCCATGGGATATTAAAAGCTTCCCGTGATATCCATGGGATATTAAAAGCTTCCCATGATATTAAAAGCTTCCCATGATGATACCATTAAAACTTGTAACTCATGAATTAATGAAGGATGAGGTAATAATAGCTTGATACAGTACTACTTAACTACATTGAACCAAATCCTTAGCATAGGCAACATTTGCTCTGTGAACCAACCCAATTCTGAATTAATTACTTAAGTTCCTATGAAGTCATAAATTAAGCTACACAGATGACAGATAAAATTAATATTGCCATTCTAAATTATCAATGAATCAGCCTGTGAGAAACCTGGGGGTCATTACCTCATATTCTTGGGAAAATTTCAAGTTGTCGTTTGCCTTCAGCCTTTCAATGTGATCCGCAAGTTCCAAAATAGGTATTGGTGGATGGCTAGCCATACCTGTTGAAGTAGAAAAAATATGGAATTGAAAAATAATGAAAGACAAGAACTAATATCCAAACTTAAAAATATAGCAATTAAAATGGCTATAAAATGTGTAAATAGTAAAGATGTTTTAAGGTGACAGAAGCAGGCATATAGTTTAGTCACTCAAAGCAAGACATGCTTTGGAGAGATGAGCTTTGAAGCCAAAATTACTAACAAAATAATAATAATAAAAAAAATACCAAGCAATTTCCCCAAACAACCATTCTCTAGTGT